TCTCTCTCTCTCTCTCTCTCTCCCTCCCCCCCTCCCCCCCCCACAATCGCACCCAAAGTTATGAACTTTTCCCGCGCAGAATGAGAGAGCGACAAAGGAAAAACGGTGGGGTATGGTATCTCAGACTTCCTTGAAAGAGAAGCTAATCACAGAGACTAGCTGGAGTCTAAAATATGATGATAGGTGATGGATTTCTCTCTCTCTCTCTCTCTCTCTCTCTCTCTCTCTCTCTCTCTCTCTCTCTCTCTCTCTCTCTCTTCCCCCCCCCCCCAAAACAAAAAAAAAAAAATTGCACCCAAAGTTATGAACTTTCCCCGCTCAGAATGAAAGAAAAACGGTGGGGTACAGTATCGCAGACTTCCTTGAAAGAGAAGCTAATCACGGAGACTAGCTTCAAGGCAGGAGACACACCTTGTAAATCAGGATGCATGAGGTGGTAGCTCTGGTAGGGGATAAAAAGTCGACCCCATTCACCGGTCAGATCTTGATTCTTTGAAGATTTTACTATTGAAATTTGAAAACTAATAGATAAACCTCCACCGCATCTTGTACATCGGTGATTGAAAAATGAATCACAGGAGACTGTCTTCAGGCAGAGGATGCTTCTTGTCAATCGGGCGAGTAATCGCTCAAGGATATATGTCCTTGATTGACAAAATAATTTAGGAGGCTAGCCTCCAACAGGGGATGCTCCAATCCGGCTTGGGTCTGTGTCCCAGCTCAAACGGGTTGCATGAGGTGGTGGGCAATTAACAGGCAAACCTCTTCTTTTGCTTTCCCAAAAGACAAACCCATTCACAATCTAGATCAGGAAAACAATAAGGGGCCCTAAAAGAGGCCTTCCATGAAGGTTTCATCACTGAAAACTAAAATGTAAAAGCCATGCGATTCCATGCACAACGGGGCAAAAGCTTCCCTCGACAGCAACTCGAGCTAAAACTCGGCTGAATCGGGCACGTGAGGCCTGCGAGGAACGAGCCCCCGCGGGGCCCCTATCAGACGTACACATGTTCTGGGCAGAGGCCCCCAGCAAGCCGAGTGCCCGCCCTAAGTGAAGGCGGGCCTGAATATTCATCAGAGGCCAAAATTCAACATTTCATACGTGGGTACTCAGGCTGTCAGTTGGTTGAGTGAACGCGTGAGCCTCACTAAGCTGCGTCATACAGTTGGCCCAGGCCTTGGCAGTTGCGCCTGGGCACACACACACAATGCAGGGCTGATACATCACGAAGTGGCCACAGGCCTACGCAAAGGCAGCACTGTCGATGTACCTACCCCGGTCCTGTGGAAATGCAACAAACGGCCCAAGTCTGGAGAGTCAGCCGTGCCCAACTGTAAAGGGCCTTGGGCCCGGGCGCAGGCACTGGGGCCAGGCCCAACCAGAAGCTACTGGAAGTTTCCCGCCAGGCCACACGCAGCCACACAGAGGCTGCCACTTCCATATAGGAAGGAGGGCAGCCAGGGCAGGGGGATGCTGGCCCACGCAGGCAATGCGGTCACGCTGCTGCGCTACGGCTGCGCTGAGGCCAGAGCGCGTGCGGGCACGTGGGTGGTGAAGAGGGGCGCTGCTGGGCAGCGGAGCACAAGCAGCCATAGCCAGGCTGCAGGGCGCTAGGGGGTAAGAGGGCGATTGGTGGTCTTCAGGAAGGAGGCTCGTGTGGGTGGACAGGGTCTGATAAGGGGAAGCGAGATACATACCTGGTACATGGAAGAGGTCGGCTATGGTGTTGACGTCATGTACATTGGTCTTCGAGACTCAAAGTGAGCCTGTTGCAAGAATGCTGATGTAGGTAGGATAGCCAGGTAGTGTACGCTGGGTGCTGGGCGCCAGACAGAGCGGAGCGACTTTGGATACTGTGTTGGTGTGGCCTGAGGGACTGGACAATGGCTCATTACTTCATTCAGTCTTCATTGTATTGCTCTTATTTGGATGGGATCTCGGTGCATTTGTGCTCTCTGCTTGCACACGACTACCTGGACATCTGTGTGATTTTGCAAGCAACTTGGTTTTCTGTATATCATTCCCACTCATATTCCTTGCAGGGCTCTATCGAAGCCGGATTTCAAGGCATACAAGGTCAATGTGACAGTTCCAACTTTAATGAAACTGCTACTTCCTTTAAAAAAAAAAAAAAAAAAAAAAAAGGAACAGTTTCAGCTTCCAAAAGAGCTTCGTAAGCACGAAACTCTGTTTGAAGGACACTTTTCTTTTTCTTCCAGGTTCCGCAAGGAGGTGAATGACGTTTAAAAGAATCCATAGCAACTCTCTCTCTCTCTCTCTCTCTCTCTCTCTCTCTCTCTCTCTCTCTCTCTCTCTCTCTCTCTCTCTCTCTCCAATATGTCGTCTTTTTTCTTGGTATCCGATCATCCGGGCATATTGTCCCCATCTGGTCAGTCTGGGTATGGATATGTGCAGATGTCTGGCCGTTGTCCACTTATGTGGACGTCTGGATCTATCAGGGCGGCAGTCCAGTTTTTTTGTCTGGATTGGTCCAACATCCACGTCCACAGTTACCATGGGTTTTTCGATCAGTATTTTGTGTGTGTTTTCTTTGTTTTCTGCTGTTGTTTTTTGGATTTGTTTCTTTGGATCATCGTTTGTTTGCTGTCTTCTTCATGGACGTGTGACAAGTTAGTAGGTCCAACAGGTTTTGTGGTTTTTCGTACGAATGAATGTCACTTGAACACACCAAGAGCGAGAGGGTTGGCTCACCACCTCTCAATTTCCTGGAGAGTTGTGAGGGTCCCGAGACTCCCGGCTCCCCAGCCTCAACCTGCCGTTCGTGGCAACTTCTTGCCTTTTTTCTTCGAACTGGAAAATGTACAAGTTAGAGCAACAAGTGATAAGAACAACTTTGCTAATGGCTTCCAAGCAGAGATCCAGTCCAGATTCAGAAGCATCTCTCTTCCGGCCCTTCTAGAAGGAATGGAGTACCTGAACAGCGTAGCCTCTGTAAAACCCTCGAAACCCTTCGGTGGTCCATATGTGATGGACTGCCTCTCCTAGCCCACTGGTGCAGAATTCATTATAAACCATCCAAAACACCGTCAGAGAGGATCACTATATTAGTCAAAGTCTCAGATATGAGAGCCATGAAATCAACCAGCAACAGGAGCTAGAGCATTTTGTTAGCACAGACTGACTGTAAGGCACAAACGTCACAGAAATCTCCGTCAGAGAAGACTGAAAAGCATAAACAACAAAGAAATTTAAAGGAGCAACAGTACGCAGTTTTACACCCTGGTAGTCACACCAGCAAATAGACAGCTGTTTTTTTTTTTCCCCCCTTAAAGCAAAGAGACAGCTCCTGGTTTATTAAAAATATTCAGAACATGGAATTTTTTGTCATCGAATCATCCACATAAAATAAATAAATAAATAAATAAATAAACTACACGAAAGAGGCACTCCGCCATGCTGAAATCAAAGCAAATATCCAGGAGAAGGAATTTATTAATTTAATCTTCTCAAATAACGCCCATGGACAACATTGCAATAAAAAACTAAGGCCTAGTCATAATGTGCCTGGTTGCCATGTATGTCAAGGAGTGTTCTTGTTTGCCTAGATGACACGCATGGCAAGGTACACTGTGATAACGCCATTTCTGAGTTCTGACGGCCTCTGAAGAGAATCTAATTGTGTGTTGCAACAAGAAAACACTAGGAATCTATTCAAGATGCAAAGGATGCATCCACATGGATCAATAGCACACGTTTGTACCCTTCACACATTTTTCTTCTGTATTTCATCTTCTTTCTTCGTCTTCTTTTTGTTTCTTCTTCTTCTTCTTCTTCTTCTTTCTTCTTCTTCTTCTTCTTCATTTTCTCCTTCTCCTTGCTCTTTTTGTGGGGCATTCATCTGTTCAACAGGATAGCGGTAATTTGGGAAAAAGTGAGATGAAAAGTTACATACCTGTTACATCTGGTATCTGCAATTAGGTTTTTGTTTTTTTTTAACTCTGTTCGTTTTCTTTTCTTACTCTGCAATTATGTGGCGGTTTGAGATTGCAGTTGGGATTATCGTTCCCATTCAGCATTCGATACCGGGGGTATGTCCCAGCCCTCATCAGTCTTCCGGCTGGCAGAAAAATGATTACAGTTGACCAACAGATTCATCATTTGACCGGATCATCCGCTTTCATCAGCATGATTACAGTTGGGAATTGTCTATGGGTATGGGCACATGTACATAGTACTTTTCTTTGCTTGGCATGCCTCTGTTTGACTTCAAACATGGCTGCTGTCTCGCGCCGCTGCCCTCATTCTCTCACATTACCAATCAGCTTGTCATGGATAATCCCACTCCAGCTCCCCTCTCCTTTTGTTTTCCACAGAGCGATGGCCTTGAGATATCATAATCGAACTGACCGGCCCTAGGTAAATCAGAAGAACTGTAGTATTTCGCTCATCTCCTTCCAGCAGACTTCCAACTCGGGTCTGTATTTCAACAATTCAGGGGTGTACGAACTGAGCTAGGCCCGCTAGTTCGGTTCCCACTCCTAAGTACGATGCGCAATCTTATTCTGGCCTCTACACTCATCAAGGGTGGCCTTCTTTGACTTTCTATGGAGGAGAGTTCAACATGGAGGACAACATTCCACACCAATTCCTCCCCCCTCCCCAAATGGCTTGTTCCTTGCTCTATCTCGCACGCAGCAGGTGATCAGCCTGACGATCCTTCATCATTTGCCATTGAAGCCCCCTCCCTCGCATCTTTGCATACATCCGGTCTTTTCATGCCTCAAAGCTGGCACCTCGTATTTCAGTGGAGACTGGTCCTTCATCTGTCGTTGCGAACATCCGGACTTTCTTGCCTCAAGGCCGCACCTTTTTTTGTTTCTTTTTTTGTGTTATGATCCTGGTCATTCCCAAAGTGCAAACTCACAATGAAAGACAATGCCACCCAATTGCGAAAGAAATGAAAGCACTTGCAAAGAGATAGAGACCAAAGAAGAGCGAAAGAAGAAGAAGAAGAAGAAGAAGATGTACGCCAGCAAGACCAATGACAAATCCCCCTTCTCTCTCCACATTTCTCCTCCTCCTTCACTTCGCCAATCTTATTCTTCTTCCAATAATAATAATAACAATGAGTGGATGAACCAGAATCAATGTCCGAAGTTCCCTCTTACTGCCGACATCACCATAGCTCCACCATAGCTATGGCTTCCCCCCTTCTTCCACCTCTCACAAGCCTAGGCTATGGCGGACAACTGAGGGCTCTTCCCTCCTGTGCAAAGGACAACACAAAGCAGCTATGTCGCTGCACTCCTGTCCAATGGACAACCCAAAGAAGCTATGCCGCTGCTGACTAGGCCGCCATGCCTGACTCTGCCTCGAGCTTCCTTGGTGTGGCACTACCCCAACTAGGGCCTTCCAGATGCAGCGCCCAACAAGGTGATGAAGATGGTGTCCACCATAGCCAGGCAGGTACCTCGCCACTCTCCTCCTTGGCCCCCCCTTCTTCCTCCTCCTCAAGCTGGGCTGCTCGCCATAGCCAGGCTGAGCGCCCAGCTGCTCTTTACCTCCAGGCAGCGTTGACTAAGTCCAGCGCTTGGCTCCAGCAGCATGTCGCCAATCCTTGCATACTGCAAATGAGGAGCTGCTTGCTCTACTGGAAGATATAGCGGCCTACTGGCCTCTTGGGCGGTGACTTCCTAGGCCGAGCGGCCTCCCAGCAACCGGTACCTCCTCCCTTTCGGAGGGTAACATCATTGCAGGCTCTGCTATCGTCCGGACAGGCCCTAGACTCGGGCAAATTTGACTGGTACCGGCCTACCTCTAACCTATCGCTACTGGGCCTCTAAAAATGCCAACTTTTGTCTTCTTCTGCTCGGCCTCCAGTACCCGACACTTTACCACTACTTGACTTGTACCGGCCTACCTGCTACTTGAGTGTTTTTCCCGCAGCTGTAAGTGTCGCGGGCCTTCCCCCGCTACTTGAGTGTTTTCCCCGCTGCAACCCTCAAAGTCACGGCCACAGATAAGTACCGGCCCTGCGGGGCCTTTCAACCAACAAGTACCCTTGTGGGTCACACACACACTCAGCCGACAAGCAGTCAAACAGGCATGCAAACCAGCAGGCACACACACACACACAGACTTGGAAACCACAGCAGAATGCGGGAATCTCAGCAAGGCATTCATTCCAGCGGCAAATCCCAGAAATCAGCAGTGTTCTCAGTCTGTGTTTTGGCGGGTCATTACACTACCCCCCTCTCAAGAGCAAGGTCCCTTCGAGCAACTTTTTTTTTTTTTTTTTTTTTNCCCCCCCCCCCCCCTCCCCCAACCCCCCAAACGAAACTTCTCTGTTCAAAGTTTTCTTTGCGGATTCGGGGAGATCTCGGCGAGCGCAGTCCAACCATGTTTTTCAAAAAATTAAAATTAAAATTGACCCACTTTTGGGCCCAACCGGAATTTCGGTTGGACCACCGGGGGTCCAACTGGCCTGGTTGGATCTGGTCCGGTCCAACCGGCCCGTTGCCGGCACAGCCCTGGTTCGCAAGTGATAGCAATGGAACCAATCATCCTTATCATTGTAAACTTTGAGTACCTGGTTTTGCTCATTTACAAGGGCTTGGAGACAGAGCAACAGAACTTAAACCACCAGTACCTTTCCCCACTTGAAAAACAAATGCCCGCCAGTTAACACGGAGGCGGGCGGGTTTGGCACTACCGCTGTGAAACGGCTGGTGGCGCCAGCCAAAAAGAGCCCTGCGCTGCTTCGTTTCTTTTTTGCCGCGCATGTTCATTTTAGGCTCGGCACCTGTAGCTGAGAAAGGTACTGGCGTTTTTTTTTGCCATGTGTAGGGTTCAAAGGCGCACCCATATTACCACCTCATCTGAAGTATCTGCTTGGTGAAGTCCATAGTACCACCTCATCATCATCATTGTAAATTCGTAATATCTTCGGTTGAGTGTTTTTTTTTTTTTTCCTATGACAAACATCCAGGTGGAAGTTGGAGATTACAGTTAGAACTTTGACATCAACATAAACTTGGAGCGACCACAAAGGTCTGTTATTGCCACCATGGACAGCTACCGTCTTGTCCCAAATACGACATACCCTCCTCATTCATGACTGCATTGTGCTGGAAAGATACTTTCTGTGCATTAACGATCAGATTGCAGCTTGTATGCATTCATTACCAGTGTATGCTACTAGGTTCTTTTTTTCTATTCGTGGGGAGCAACACGTGCTGGGAACCGGGCCCAGCGTCCCATATAGAAAATTACATAGGATTTTGAAAAAGTTTTGAGAATTTGCAGTACCAGGGCCACTACCTGGCTTTGGCTAAGAGCTAGATTAAGAGATACAAACAAGCTACCGAAAGTAGGCAAAAATTCAGGAACAGACTCAGACCCCCCTCCATCCTCATTACCTCACTCCGGCAAGTCTTTTACTGCAGCAGAGCCACCATCTCTGCTGCTGCTGTACCCTATTACCATCCTACCAGCTAGCCCCCTCGCTAGTAGGACGCTTGATATCCACCCTTCTTCTCCCACTCACCTAGGCAAAATTTCAAGAAACGTCTCGAAGACCCCCATCCATCGTCTTTACCTCAGTCCGGCAAGACTTCCTGCAGCAGAGCCACCATCTCTGCTGCTGCTATACCCTATTTCCATCCTACCAGCTAGCCCCTTCACTGGTAGGACGCTTGATATCCCACCATCTACTTCCAACACCAACCATTTTTTTTTTTGGCAACATGAAAATTGAGATACAGGGGCCATTACCCGGCTTTGGCTAAGAAAAATTTGAGTCATTTAACAAGTTGCTACGTCAGACTTCAGAGAAATTCAGAAAACCGACTCAAACCCCCCCATCAAACCTCTTTACCACACTCAGAGCCACCATCTCCGCTACTGCTGTGCCCTATTTCCGTCCTACGAGCTAGCCCCTTTACTAGTAGGATGCTTGTTATCCAACCATCTACTTGTCCCCCTCACCTCTTTGAAAGACAAAGCAAGGCATGTGCACGAATCAGGAAAAAACGCCCCCAGAATTTAGAG